CTACGACGTAATTCATATGCTGTGGATTTGTCTAATTACAGTGTTAAGAATAGAGCAGTGTATCAGTAGAGAGGTGGCGAATGGTTGGATTTTTCACATTGGGCGCAGAGCGGTGCAAAATGTGCTGGATGTAGTTTTCGAGAAGCAAGCGGCTACTGCAGGGTGAAATAGTATAATATTATTATGAAAGTGTTCTAAATGCGCTTAAAATCTAAAGATATTTATTTATTTACACAAGGAACAGTTTTTGACTATATCGGCATGGTTTGCTAGCTGATCCAAAAAAGTACTTAAGGTGAATCTGATTAAATCATGACACGTGGAAGCTGGCAGTTTGTCGAACCAGATTTTTTGAAGTAGTGCGTCGTTATCCACCTTGCGGCCAGCGAATAAGGAATGCATGTAGCGCATGAGGTAATATGACGCCAGCTCCATAAGCGCCTATTATACGCGAGGTTTGGCACTATTCTGTTGGTGGATTTAATTTTGCGTTGAAATACGATATTTCTTAATTCTGTGTATGGGTAATCAGCTAAAATGGGACGAAAAGGCTCTTTGGCATAAACAGCAATATCGAATGGCGGGATTGCACAATATAATTAGAACAATGTATCACCAGGTGAAATATTCTACGTTTAACGCATAACAGACGAGAGAAGGAAATTAATACTCGACAAAAAAGCGGAAATTTCACAGACTGGTGAACAACGGACTTGTTTTCAATGTGAGCTCGTGTTCTGGAACAAATGTCCCCTGGATAACTGAATAATTTGCCGGATTGATCGTACTCAATGGCAATTTTTGACCTGTGGATCTACACCGGAATATATACGACAGAGGTAGAATAACCTGAGATAATTGGGATCGATTCAACGGTGTAGCTACATCGATGTGAGGTTCAAACTACTAGAAGCCTACTATCAGGAAAAGAAGAACACGCGCTGATGAGAAACGAAAACTTGTTTTGTGTATTTTGTGCGCATGCGTGCCTAGTTTGACAGTGAATATCGGAAATTAAAATAGAAAATACAGAGAAATCTGAAACTCTCTTTAATTTTACGCTCCCCTTATCACCTTTAGCGCTGTTTAAAAATATGCTGTCCTCCGTTAGATTGACTAATACACAGAAACATACTTCTATCTAAAATATTGCTTAGTTATGTTTGACTAACATCTTCGCTAGACTGAGTTAGTCATGCATACTTATAAGTTAAATAAAGCTTTCAGAAGACAAAAATGCAACTGATTCAGTGAGTTTAATCAGAACTCCGGTTTGATAACGAAAGGCAGTATACTCCACAGAAACAGAGGATGAAGTCAGATCGCGTAATTTTCCCCACATCTTCGTCCATTTTCTTATCATTTCGCATACATCCCTTCAATTTTCTTCCACGGTCTGGACAATCACATCGGTAGAGTTCGCAAAATGTCCTTCAATTTGACGAAGTAATGACGCAACCGTTTCCAGTGTTTGTCCCTCAATCAACAACACCCAGCTACGCTTGTCCTCTTGTTCTATCAGGTGATCATTCAGCCGAAGCACAACTCGAGCACCCGGAATTTTGATTGAACAGAGTTCGGCCAACTTAAGAGGCAGAAGAGGACTGCTTTTGTTGGTCCAGGCGATTGACTCCGCAAGTAAACACTTCAAGGAGTAAGGAAACTCACAGGCTGCCCGCAGATTGGAATGAAAATTAGAGTGCACTCCCTCACCTTGTCCACTGACGTCAGCATTCGTACGGGCATCCCGCGCATTGATATCCAGACCCTGAGCAGCACAGTGGGTGCAGGGATCATTTGTTTCATAGCGCTGTGTCACAGTTGCATCCAAGACATCAACATTGGTGCCAGTAAAGAGGTTGTTGGGGGAAGTTTCCAACGGCACCTCACCGCATAGCTGCTCGGGTCGCAGGTAACAAAATTTTTCGGACGCCGGCCCTATCACTCGCGTCTGCGAGTGACCTCGATGATCCTTCAACTTACCAACTTGAGATACTTTTGGAGCTCGTGGTTCCAACGGTGCTATCGAGTCCTGACATTCCATCGGCAATGCTTCTGTGGAAATACTTAATTCTGTGTATTCGTCACTTCCGTGGTACTGTCGCCGCTTGAAAAGGCCGAAAAATTTTCGGAGCTTTCCAGTCTAAAGGAGCTTCAGTTA